TGTCCCCGAGGAATACGGTTTTTGTAGCTCTCCAAAAAAGGTACTAGAACATACATGCATACTAGAGACGTCTGATGCATTGTAACGTTTGATCAACTTACTCTCCAAGCAAAGGTTTGGGTTTTGGCTTATTTTTTTGCGTGTTTTTAGGCTTTTATCGGGGTTTAATTTCTTTTTTGCACTGGGATTTTTTTACGCCAACCCAACCCAACCTTGCATGCAAAATAAGAAAACCCGATAAAAAAAGCCTAAGCACACGCCAGAAATAAGCCAAAACTCAGACTTCTGCTTGGAGAGTATGATCAGCTATGAGGAGTTTTTACATTCGTAGGAAGGTCGTCGACCGATTTAGAATATTCAAGCAGGTTGTCACAGAATGAAATGCCTATAAGGATCTTTCAGCAAAAACAAGACTGAGGCTGAATCTTGCAGGACACATGTACAACTATCCCAGTTTGAGATACAACGGTCGCATGACGTAACACGACCAGGCCCTAAGCTTACTAACGGGTGTACAGATTTAGAAAAAAATCAGAATCCTGTATACAATCAGGACACGAAAAATACGCTCAATTTGGAGGCTAGTTTTACCTCCGCTTTTCAACAACAACTATATGTATTATCTGATTATGAATATTAGAGGACGGAAAGTCAATTTTTTTAATAGCAAGAATCCGTTAGCGTGACTAACGGATGTGATTTCATTTTTACACAAAGCATATTTACCAAATGCCAAACAAACTTCCAAACGGACGTCGCTTAAACAGTTGTTTGCTAACGGCCCGGCGTCAACTGTTGAATAAACAAGATTGACGTAAAAGCACTCAGGCCATGTGTATGTCTGTATCTGTCGTAGGACCATCGCGTTCGGTTGTGTGTTTTCTTCACACTTCGCTAGGTCTGGAGATGAAATAACGCTGCATAAGAAAACACTGCATTTCCCTGAGGACATCAATATACAAGTTCTGAGAGACAGCAATTCTCATTGGTCGCTATGGTGATGAGATTAACGCTCTGAAACTCGCCATTTTGCTTTTGTGATTCCGGGTGTCATCAGAGAGTCGGGGGGTAAGTGGGGAGAGATTTTATGGCAGGCCGTTTGTCCCGGGTAGGCACGCGCTTGGGGGCCGGCCGCTGACCCTTGAAATAACGGCCGGACGCCGCCGGGTTGTACATAGACAAACAAAGCCGACAAGCGCTGAGCACAAACTTTAGAAACATGATCAATCATCCTGGAGACGCTACACTTCAGAAACTTTCCCCCAAAAATCAGTGTCTCCGTGAAATAAACAAAAAAACATTCCACCTAGGCGGTAAAGGAGTGACCTGTTTTATATGATTTTTAATATTAGTAGGACGTCCAGATACCCTCCCGTATTTAACATATGAAGTCGTTAATTTGAACTCGGTAAAATGACAACTTCTTTCTTATTCTGAAATTGAAACATGTGCCTTTAGTGTCGGCCAAATGACTGTCGTTTGAAAATGACGTGATCTTCAGTAAAAAATACCTAAGCAAAGACTTTCCCGGCTAAAAGTGCAAAATGTAGAAAATAAAACGATGTGACCCTCGGGTCACCAGTTCACTCGGGTCAATTAATTCAAAGCGATTTATTACCCCCAATAAACTAATCAAGAAAATCCCCGCATTGCTCAGACCTTAATGAGGTATTGCTTGGATTGCTTCCACAAGTAGCTGTGAATGACCTCCCCCCACACCCCCAACAACGGAACATTGAGCTGTTCCCTGCCCCCACTACAACTTGAATGACCTGACACCTAACCGCCAAATGCCCCCAAATTGACCCGTGAGGAAAGTCCATATAGTTCGTGTGGTTCTGTGGGACATGGCGGCAGAACGTGTTGGAGATTAGAAACACGAAAGATTTTATCATTGCCGTTGTTGGTGACTAGAAGGGACACGAGAAATCAAACTTTTGAAGCATGTTTTGTGTTAAATATCTTTTGAATGATACAAATTGGGAATTCTTTCATTTTTTTCAATGAGTTGCAACCATCCAGACGGCAAACAATGACTTCTAGCTACGAAGGAAAATAAGATATTTTCTTTGTTTTCGAGAGTCTATATCACTAGTTTCAAGTGTACGTACTTTAGTTTGCAGAAATACAGCATTGTCTGGTGAATGTTGTCACTAACTTTTTTTAGGATCCGCACTGTATGCTCTAGTGATTTACACAATGCTGACCAACTGCGTTGTAAAAATATAAATGTCGAATGTTCGTTCCTTTGTTGTTTTTGTTGTTGTTGGTATGACCAAAATCTGAAGCTAGCGAAGATTTCTTGCGCCTTATTAAGTGTGTCCTCTTTTTCCAAACCGTTTTGAAATAAAGTCTGGAATATTTGTTGATTGGTTGTTGTGGCATTCTTGGGAATATTACTAGGCCAATGCCTTCTCTTCCGTCACGCACTCGATGACCAACGACCACTGAATATTTGTCGGGATTTGACCCGTGCAGCCTTGTACTTGAATGACCAGCGGCGCGGCGGATTTTCCGGTTCATTCCGTCTGCAGGTGCTGACACCGCTGTCCGGACGGCTTGTATGATCCGGACATACCAGGCTACCCGGCATGCTGAGCGGGCTGAGTGGGCCGCCGTCACGCCGCGTTTGGGCTTTGTCGTGCGGAGAAAGAGCCGCAGAGGGGGAGCTGGTTGGTCGGCGGGCGGGAGTGGGCCCGGCAGGGACCATGCTGGGGGCCGCTGCCCGACACACGAGAACTTCATTCAGCTATACCATTATTGACCTTCGTAATAACACCTTCGGGACGCCTGCGTTTTACCTACCGGTGAAACAAACTTTGGAAAGTCTCGACTTGGACATTTTACGACGTAACTGTTTGTTTTGAATTACTAAAACGTATAATTGGGGCGCAGCTGAATAAAAACACAGTGTGAAAATGTTGAAAGGTTGTACAGTAAGTTGTAAAGTATTCGCTTGACCGGAGTTCCATCTAGAGTGCTCATTCTCATCATTACCGAAAAGTGTATTAGTATAGCATCGTTTCAACACAAAATACACATCTTCCAAAAATCGTCCCTTTTCCCTCAGAAAAGTTTTCATTGAGACGCCATCTTGTTTCAGACGACCCAGACGCAGAAGAATATCGGGAAATTCAGCCGCATAATAAGCGTGAAAACCACGGACGGAGGCGAAAAGTGGATTAATTGTGCTGAGAAAGGAAGCCATATAAATTGAACCAGCGAGGTGACTTTAATTTGTGCCCTTTCTTCCTCTAGTTGGGTGACAATGAATGGTGGCAGCCCTTGGAGGTCCTCCATTATTATTCCACCGCAATTGTTCTCGGGCGAACAATAGGAATGGGGCTGATTTATGGCTCCATACTTGGAGCTTTTTTTAGGGATTCCAGTTTTGCAAAACAATGTAAGTTCATTTACAGCACGTTTAGTTGTCGATCCTTCAGCACTGCAGGCGTGAAAAACATCCGTACGAGTTGTTGAAAATTCGTGTATTTTCTCATGATACCCTCCTAGAACAATACATGTACATGCAGTTCCCAATCATACAGTATCATACAGTACGGTCACTTCTATGCGAGATGTATTTGAACAAACGTGATTTTGGCTACGAGTGCACAAAATCTACGCAGCACACTGGCAATCGATTTTCGAAAAGATTTCCGTAACTGGTTTCTCAAAATCACGATGCTTTCTCCCACGGTCTGCCTTCTAACTCCATGTCTCTACATATAGACCATGTTTCAAAAGACATGGTCTTTGTTAAGACAAATAAAGTTTATGTTTTTGGTGAGTTCCGAGGGTTAGGACATTTTAACTCTTTGTGTGCGTGTGTCACTCAGTGCTGTTCATAAACGGGCTCTCTAAATGTGTGAATCAAACTATGGAGATCACAAAACAGGTGGTTGTATAGAAAGAGAAAAAAGAAACACGTTTTCGAGCGATGGTGACGATTTTCACACCCAGTGGCTAGCCCTCCCCCCTATTCTCTGGTGACAGGTTCACGCCTGGGTGACATAATATCCACACGGCGGCGCGTGGCAGCTGGACTGGCGATAGTCTTGACCAAGCGTGACCACTGTTATTGGTCATTTCGGCATTTATCCCCAAATATTCTACACAAATTGAAAAACGTTTCTTAAATTCTGCGTATCAGTGAGTTTAATATTCGTGCGTACGTGTGAAGTTTGGTAACGGTAGGGCAGAGAGGAAAGGTAGCACGTTGTTTGCGGAAGTGTTCGGACATTGACCGAATGGTCGCGGTGACAAATATGCGACTTCCGTCACGACACACGCGCGGCTTGCCTCCCGGCACGTGCCCTAAGACAACAGAGGAAAGGGCCTCAGACCATAGCCTGGTATCCAGGCCTATATTTTCTCTTCGAACGGCTTCAGTTCTCTCTATTTTTTTAACGTGGACTGGAAATGGCTGCTCTGGACAGAAATAGGCCGGAAACCAGGCTCAGACCACAGGTCATCTATCTAAGATTTCTCGTCGTTTACGTTATCTTTATAGTCTGAACAAGCGTCACTTTACTGGGTGTTTTCACTGTTCATATAACGTTATGTAGTTTTAACACCACCAACGCGGATACAAGAGTACAACGATGGAACTGAGAATTGACTTTTCTGTTGGGCTGTCAACTCTTTTTTGTTACATTATACTATTAAGTTAACGGCTCTGTAGGATATCACATATTTTAGACGTTTTGCGTGTATTTCAAGCTGCTCTATCTATGAACATTTTGCAGTGGTGTAAGAAGATACGATCATTGGTTCACATGAGCGAATAACCAGTTATTCCGGGTGCTCTACCTGAGCACGTAATGTGTATTGACACTACACATCGCATGGTGCGGTACCGGTCTGTTGGGTCGACTAGCAGGGACCACACAAAGAACTTTCACTCAAGTCGTCTACCAGTAACTTTCTCCAACTCTTCAACTACCTGTAACGCTAGCTACCGGTAAACGTAACACCAATACAAACAAAGATGTAGCGTTCATTAAAAATCATATTTTATTCTGGAGTTTTCTCACCAGATAGATTTTTACATGGAAAGACATGGTAACAAAGCGGGCTAGCCCGCCAGATCTAGAAAACATTGGTCGCTTGTAGCTATCTCCTATATACTATCATGATGCGGTCATTGGTAAGAAATAGATTTTTCACAGAGGATCTTACGAAAGCTATAGGGGGATACGGTATTATTTACAGAGTATATTTCGAGAATTCTCTTACGTTATCTCCCTGAAAATCTTAGCAAAATACATTCTTCTTACAAAAATTCATACAATTTGTCTTCTGTCATTCAATTTACAAAGAATTCGTTCTAAAACAGCATTTTGTGATGGCTATCGTTGTTTGAGTTGTAGGGACGTTTTAGCTTGAATCAGATATCGACATATGAGAGCGGTAGGTACAATCTTGTCTAGCATCTATGTATGGGAAATTACCTTGATCACTGAGGCATGGGCGCCCTTTGTGAAGAACGTTACTGTGGAATGACGGTTTGCTATAGTTACGAGAGTTCTTTTCTCTACCATAATGCCTTTATGGTGAAGGGTACATGTACGAGTCGGTTTCAGAGAGTTCAGAACACAATGAGCCGTTCGGGGTCGTGCTAGGGTCACTGAGCGGGGCTGAGATCCATTGTCCGTCGGGCCTCCAGGACGGCCCACCCGCCCAGGGAATGTTCATGTTCTCGAGACCGCTGCTCGGCGCGAAGAGGTTCGGCATGGCCTGGATCTGTGCGGACGGGTCTCCGCCCGCGTCCGCTACCTTCAGCATTTCCGACAGGGCCCAGATGTAGTTGTGCGCGAAGCGGAGCGTCTCGATTTTCGTCAGTTTCGTGTCGTCGGGAAACGTCGGCAGGACCTCGCGGAGCTGGTCCAGCGCGCCGTTCAGGTTGTGCATGCGGTTTCTCTCCCGGTCGTTGGCCTTGCGACGCCGCTGTTTCTTCACCTGAACCACCGCCTCCTGGCTCTTGGGCTTCTGCCGCGACTTGTGGGACCGTTTGCGCTTGGTGCCCGTCGTCTTCTCTGCTTTGTTGTTGTCGGTCTTGCGAGCGGGGGCCGCCCTCGGCTGACGCCCGGTTTTCTTCTCCGACTCCGTGTCCATGACATCCTCGGACTGGTACTCGGGAGTGCTCGGGAGGCAGTCCGTGTACCGGACCTCGGCCAGGCTCGGAGAGGGCGAGAGGGTAGGCGGGCTGGGCGAGTGGAAGTCCGCCGAGCAGTAGGAGTAGGGCGAGCCGGGGTGGGTCTCCATGTCGTCTCCCGGGCGGGGGAGAGGGGATAGGGCGCCGTCCGACATCTCTGCTTGGTACGCTTATCAAAAAAGTCGTCTGCAGAGAGAGGAAGAAAAATACGTCAGAATATGTGTGGACAAGAGAACAAACACGGAAACAGTCCGCCACCTGCTCAAAAAGGCGGAAACGAGTAGTCCGTGTACTCCAGGTTATAATTGCACTTCACTGACTTGTTGAAACAAAGAATATTTCTGTACTCACTCTCCATTACACTGAAATACAAACACACAAAATATTGCACTGCCTCTAGGTACATTTCTACATCACGTCGTTACCAATGGTATCTATGACAGACATTTTGAAAGGTAAATTGTCTTGTAGGTTCAAATTTAGACACCAAGCATGCATTACGACCAAACCACCCACGTAATTGTATAACTCTAGATCAGTAAAGTAGCTAAAAGCTATTTGCTGTTACTAAAAGATGCCGGATGCTTACCGAGCCGAGAGTGAAGCCTTGTCGTTGGTGGAGGTTCTTTCACCGGAAAAACGTTGGCGTAACAAAGTGGTTTTGCTTCCGTGGTCTGAAGTGCAGCGGGCACGCGTTGACTGTCAGTCGGGAGCCGCCGGTGTGTCCTGTCGTCTCCGCCGCGCGTGTGTGTCTCGAGCCGGGCCCCGGTGCTGTTTATATACCCGTCCCCGACAATGCCACTCGCCTAACAAAGAATTAAACTTTGACCATCCTCCCCCCTATTATCAGATCACGCTAAGTGATCGTGTATACATATGAATAAGGGTGAACGCTTCCACAGGGCAGCCCCCCTTGTCAACAATACCTCCGCGCCACCAAGGGTCTCCTCTCCACCAATGAGAGGGCAGAAGTTTTGTTCTTGGCGCGGTTACCGGGTGAAATCTCCTTCAAGCAGAAGCTATTAGTGCATTAATGATCTCAGCGTGAGCGGCTATTACTCTGTCCTTTGTCACCCTTGGGATGAAAAGACCACCAGTCCTAATCTGTCCTGAGTATTCGTGTGCCCGAATTTTCCGCCCCACGTGTGCGCCACCGTCCCGCTCATTCTGTCCTTTAAACCACCCTTCAAAATATAACCTTAAGTCAGGACCAAAACTTCCTCCTATACATTTCTAAATCTTTTTTTTCTTCTTATTGAATAAACATTTCTTTCTTCACTCCTTGACCTTCGTGCCAGGGAGCAGGCAGTACTCTACAGTGACAGTGTTTATAAAGTCTAGAAGTGGCTGACACCATACATGTATATGTGTGTCGGGCTTTGGCTATTTTCGTCGCGTACTCAACTACAAGCAGCATTCCGCGGTTTGATTTTAATTTTTCGGCTGATTTTTTGGTGAAACGGTAAACAAAAGGGTGTTGAGGAGGGCCGTGAGTGTGTGGGGAGGGGAGGTGGGCGGCTGGCTCGCGCCGGTCTGCGGTGGCACGCGCCAGGGAAGCGGCAAAGTCCCCGCCGTACCCCCGTGCCAAAAGGCTGCAGGTGATCTGTGTACACAGCCCAGTGCGCATGCGTGCTAAGAATAAAAGCGCGTAGTTTAAAAGTTTGAGAAAGTTGTCGGGTGGGCGGACCAGTCGCGGCGGGCGGCGGGCGGGCGATGCGGCTCCGTTCCGCTGCCGTAACTCGGGCCAGCGCCTACGGCGGGTGAATTTTCCCTGCCTCGCTGTTTCTAGCTTGTGTAATTGCACTTGAAAGCAGGCCTGGAAAGGGCACACTTCCCAAACAAACCGACAACAAAGCCGACAAGGCCGGGTGCCTAATAATCCACCCATCCACCTGGTCTTTGCCATTTACAGAACCAATAATAAACACCATCCTTTTCATGTCTATTAAATTCTGAGCTTAATTAGAGGTACTTTACCTATATTAATCATTTATCGAGCGCTCTTGTGGCGTCAAGTCCGTTCCACCTGTCGCTTGGGCCGTGGAGCGGGCTTTGTTCGACGAGCGCGTGGCTCCAAAGAAAATCGCTATTGAATGATAATTTTGACCGGGTTTCTACGGCAACCTTCACCACTTGTTTGCCGTACCGAGGCGAGGGAAGGAGCGCTATTGATAAAATCTACGGCTGCGCCTTTTCCCCGCTCCGACCCGGGCCGGCTGGGCGTCGCGTCCCGTTGATCGTATCGTCCAACAGCGCCAAAAAATAGCTAGAAGTTTACTCTGTTGCATGGAAATCGACGCCTAAGTGTGTTCAAGTGGTTTGTACTAACTTTTTCTGTTTGCTTTTGGCACTTCTAGGCTACATCTGGCTTCGCCTAGAACTGCAAGCACGAGGTCTGTGCTATTGTCTGCGTCGGTCGCTCACAAAAACAATGGTGCGACCAAAATTGAGGTCCGCTTCAACTTGGGCGCGTGTTGCCCACATTGTCCTGTCGTATAATATGCACCGGAGAGAACAATAATGACTTTGTGTTCTGCATACAAGTATATTTTGCAAAATAGGGGATAATATGGGCTTTGAAATCACATACACGCCATATGCCATTGCTTTCGCAATCTTTGCTTTTTGATGTCTATCGCTTGGTGGCCGTCACCAAAATGAGCGTCGCCTGCCTTGCCCTATACCTACGGCAAATACGCCCCGCATTTTTATCGCAGCGTTGTGATGTTGTTTGGAAGCACACTAAGTGGGCAGATATCCTTGAAGAGCGTTATTCATCTAGCTATCACCTGGTCCCGATAGCGGAAAGCGGTCCGGAGCAATTGAGGCATTGAGATTGGCGGCAATTGTGGGGAGAGACGCGGGCGCTCTGTTGTTCGAGGCGGCTGGCCCCAAACGCGTGCCAGTCGCCGCCTCTTGACAGTCCCGACGCGAATAGACCGGTGGTCGCGCTGCCCTTCAGGTGGCTGTATTGTCCTCCTTTGTTCTTTAGCCTGCACTTGGTGTTTGGAAAAGGCCAATAGACCAGCGTGGTACGCCTTGAATCAAAGCGGCGCGCTAACAAGAGGGCCTGGGCGGGCGGGCACAGCACGACCACCCGGCCGTCACCTGCTCCGTGATGTCAGACGTGCCAAAACCACTGTTCGTATTCATTTATCCGCCGCTGCGACTCTTGTGTGATGGAAATGTGGGCTCAACAACAACAGGGCGATGAGATGAAATAACGGGGCGTGCTTTTCATTCCCACTCATCAAGACTCGACCCCCAATAACATCATAACAATAATTCCACATACCCTACACCGACGAGCCAAGTTCACACGCACACACACCACTTCACATCTCCACCCTACCCAGACTTACCGCCCTTAAGTTCTTAGCCATGTAATTGTTTCACCTTTTATTCTGCTATTCAGCCTTCCTCTTGACAACAAAGAAAAACACAATCCACCTCTTTATAAAAACTCGCCGGGCGTTTAGTCTAGGCTGAGGCCGCCAGGGTTTCCCGTCGGTGACGTGCCCTGCCTCCCGGGCCGCTGAAGGTCGGACACACTTCTCTCTACCGCACGGGCTTCTGTAAAGACTCGTACTGTCTTAGGCATACATTATGAAGATGTGCGGCTGTGTACTGTCATTTTGTATCACGGAAGTATGCGGCTAAACTACCGGTTGGACGCGAGGGAGGTACAGAGGGCCCCAAGAGGTAGTTATGGCGATTCGGCATGGACTATTAATTAGACGGTCTGATTTCGAGGAATTGAGGCACCCCAGCTGCATGCAAAAATCCCATTCATTCCTCGGAATTCAAGCAGGGGATTTGCCGGGTAGGTTGCCTGGTTACTCCCCTTTCATATCCACGTAGCGACACCTTCGTCTATATACTGTCCTGAACTACAACAACATTTCATCGACATTACCAGCAAGCTAGTAGAAAGGAGTGAATGGATCAGTGATTTAACGTAAAGGCTCTACGTTCTTCCCAGCAAGTACTTAGCTACTGAATAGGGTACCAAGGACAGGTCACTTGGAGATCATGCTGATCGGAAAAAACACAGTCGTTTAAGAGCTAGTTGTTACGGCCTGTTCTGTTGAATCAAGATAAGCATCCACCTGTCTGGGCGTGGTTTAAATGACTGCTATCGACAGGATATAGATCTCCTAATCCAGCTGGCTTCGTCGTAATCTACTTGACGTAACACCAAAATCTCTGCTAATCCATCCACTATCATCACAAGACAGTGCCATGGCAAGAGGGAACGTAAAGCACTCTGAACTTTTGTCTGAAGTTGCTGTACAAAGGTATAAAAAAGAAAAGAAATCCGGGGCCTGTCGATTTAGCGGAGTCTTTTCTGGACGTAGTTTAACTGAACGTCCTGAATGCTCTCCTCATATGATTTCTGTATACTGTATGTAGATATATTCTGTCTACCTGTAGGTATGATATACTCGAACCATCAGAAACTAACTATAAGTTGGCGATGTGTCAGTGGCAGAGAGAAAGAGAGAGGGAGTGAGGGATAGAAGGAGAGACATAGGAGATAGAAAAAAGACGCAGATAAGACTTAATGGCGCCTAAATGAGTTCGCAAATGTATATCTTAACGGCAATTAATACTTAATCACAATTTTTTAGAGTGCAAGCTATAGAAGTGCACTTCAATGTATACATCGTGACCATGTTATCACTGCCCTGGTCTAAGACCAACTTTCTGTGAGTTTGACTCAAACTTTGGAAATAAACCTACTGGTTCACGACATATCTAAATGATAGTAAAAGATGAGGCAAAGACTTACGCCTCTCAATTTGATGGACACGGTACTCAAAGACGACCTATTGCATAGAAACTACTCCCAAACAAAACTGACCCACATCGTCTCTCCCAGGCCCTTTCCATATACCCTGCCTGTGTGAATTCTCCATTGAAACATCGAGAATGTGTCGTTTTGTTGTCCCTTTCTACTCTTAAATCGCAGCCGCCGTTCGGTCAGCCGGCTGGGTCTTGGTCCAGTATTCTCTCATCACGTGGCACATTGTCCTGGCTGTGAGAAAGGCTTGAAAGGCCTGAATGGAGGACCTCCCGTCCGCCCAGCCCCGGCCTCACGACCCCTGTACTGTAGGAAGACGTGGTATTATAGCCGTTCACGGGCTGAGGGCCTGGGATGACCCGTTCAGACGCGCGGTTGAACAGCCTCCCCTACGGGTTGTCGCCCTGAGGTGGGCGGCAGGGGCGGCCCGCGGCGCGGGGTGAGGACCTTTGGTCTCTCCGGCAGGTGCGGGGCCGTGCTCGCGGTGGCCACTCGGAGGAAGGGCTACAAGGTCAAGCATTATATAATGAGGCGCGGGGAACTCAATGAAAGGGAAGAATCTGAAGGAAGTGTATAGCTTGAAAGGTGGGCGAGGAAATTGGTCATGTCACTCGGCAGGGTGCGGCCAACAGGATTAAATCTTCCAGTCTGACAATACAGCAAAGTGTCAACACGTGCCTTTCTTCTCCTGCTTTTCTTAGGGGATTCATTTCTCTTCTTCTCTGCATTCTCTTCCTCCCTCATTCTCCCACCACTTATCCAGCCTCCTCCGTGAATCTCAAACATTTATCTAATACATTCTCATATTCTTCATCCTATTGCTTTCAACGCCACTTGTATTTTAGTATTGATAGTGCCTCTCGCTTCGAAATTTGCTGTTGTCGCCATCTCGTCGAATCAGTCATTGTGACAGGCAGGCACATCAATTCTATCACTGTGACAGACAGGCACATCAATTCTATCCCTGTGACAGGCAGGCACATCAATTCTATCACTGTGACAGTCAGGCACATCAATTCTATCCCTGTGACAGGCAGGCACATCAATTCTATCACTGTGACAGTCAGGCACATCAATTCTATCACTGTGACAGGCAGGCACATCAATTCTATCACTGTGACAGGCAGGCACATCAATTCTATCACTGTGACAGGCAGGCATATCAATTCTATCTCTGTGACAGGCAGGCACATCAATTTTATCTTCTGACGTTCCCTACAGAAGGAAGG